CAGTGCTTTCCCTCTGGGTCTCTCAAGCCCTTACGGGTGGTTTTACAGGCCAGGATGCTTACGGGGATTGTTTGCTTCCCGCGGGACGAGAGACCCTCCTAAAGGGCAGAGACTTTGCTTGCAGACAGCAGTGGCGCATCCCTGCCAGTTTGCCTCTTACCCACCGCGGGGGGCTTGGAGACGTGGTGGGTCTCAGTGCACAGCAGAGCCCACCACCGCCACGGGACAGACGTCCTCTTGTGTAGCTGTGCCCAGCTGGAAGGGACCCCCGAGGGCAAAGAGGGCATGAGCAGAGCCAGAATCTGGCTCAAGACCTCTTAAATTTGCCTGGAGAGTTGTTCCGTTGGGCAGTTTTGGGTTGGGCTTTTTTTTTTAGGTGCCTTCTTCCCCGAGCTAGCAAAACGTGTGCCCAGCTCTCCTGCCTGAGCCACTTGTCTCTCCGCCTTCGCGAGGGCAGGGAACATGTCTTGGAGGCTCCTTGCCTCTCCCGCCACATAAGAGCTGCCGTTGCAGCAGGGTGGGTGTGCGGGCCACAGTGAGGAGGAGGGCTGGCAGGTCTCATTCCTGCAGCAGATGCCACCTTCACCCCAATACGCAGCTATTGCGGCTGGCTGCGGTATGAGCCCTTGCTCGGCACAGCTACCTGGCTTGGAGATGCCCAGAGGAGCCTGCGCAGCTATCGGGACGCTACTGAGCACTGCAGGAAGAGGCCAGATGCTCTTGGTCGGTGTGTTTAACATGGACCTGCTTCCTTCATGCACACATGGCAAACGGGGGGAGCACCGGATGCGGCACAGACATCATCACCCTTGGTCTTCTCCAAGGTCCCAACAGGCCAGATGGTTGTGGATGGGAGCGCTGCCTTAGAGACCTTTGTGTGTTGGCTGCTTTTTCATCTTCTGCGCCGCAGGATAGGAAAAGGAGGGGGAAGCAACGATCTGCAAGCAAAAATGTTAATTTGTAAATAGGGGAGAGTCTGGAAGAGTTTACTGTGCTGTAGAATAAATTAATTTTATTTTAAAAAGTGACTTGCTAAACAAATGGAGAACTTGAGTTCCAGTTTTAAAATAAAACCACTTGCAAAAAGGACAGCACGTTAACAAGAGCTTGGGCCTTTCCTGGATTGGCTATGTGACAAAAGAGAAGAGAGCATGGGTCGCATGTGTGTAGACCCCTTCATCTCGAGGCAGCCGCAGCAGGGCTCAGACCACCTTTCCCCAGCGGAGCTGGTCCAGCGCACCGGGGGCAGAGCAGAGGGGTAGTTTTGTCCCTGCGAAGTGGAGGCTGGTGGGGGAACGCGTGCAGGCTGCACGGGGAAGGGTCGCACGCTGCGCGTGCCTGCGCACCCGCCTCTCGCAAGGGGAAGCACTGCTGTCCCCAGACCCCAGCTGCCCTGCCGGGAAGACCAGCCCGGCAGCCTGCGTTGCGGCACCTGTGATCACAGGAGCTGTCGTTTCTCTTCTTCCCTCCGACTAGCAGACTCCCGCTGGGCTGGCCACGGTGGTCCCACTGCCAGCTCCCTTCCTGGCAGTGCCCCGCGCGCTCGTCCCGCAGCATGGCAGTGGGTGGATGCATCTCCTCTCCGCCTGGTCTGTTATTTTCTTTGGTTTGTCACTAGTGAAGTTGACCCAGAAGCAGACACCAACGTAGATAATACTGAATTAGCAGCCGTGCGGAGCGAAGATGCTCCTCCCTTGCCGAAGGCCCGTGCTAGCACCCTGCCCTCCCAGAATCCGCGTTCACCTTAGCGCCTTTCCCCCTCCCCTGCCACGGTCTCTCCTGGCAAGCGGTGCCGCACGCATTGCCGTGGGTACCGCTTTCCGGCGTGCTGTCTGCTGCTGAGGCTCCCCTGGGAAAGCTGGTACGTTGTCCCAGACTGCGCTGTCACAGCTGAGCGGCGTGACAGACACGGCTCCCAGACACAGCTAACACGTGGCTTTTGGGGGGCGGCGGGAGCGACTCCGCTCTGCGATCAGGCCGTGGTTGCCTCACGAGCCATTCATGAAAAAATTCCCTCCCTAAAAGTCTCCAGAGCGCGTTAACCCCTTCTGGCTAGCTCACGCGTCGGGAGCTGGGCAGCCGGCGAGGTAACAGCCGTCGGCGAGAGCAGATGAGCTCCTCCTTCGTGCCCACCAGGCGGGTGGTGAAGGCTGTGCCTGAAGGTGGGATTGCCGGAAAAAACATGCTTTACTTTGCTTTCACAGCGCTCCAGACAGGGCAGGGCAGGGACAGGACATGACAGTCCTATGCATCAAACCCAGAGATCCAGTAGCGAGACAAGGAAAAAACAGGCGTAGCAAGCGAGGGGGCTGAGCTGCGGGGCTGCTGGGGCTGAGCCGCGCGCTCACTGATGTTATGGAGCCGGCGAAGGATGCGAAGGGCGTTCAGCGTTGCAACCGCCGGCGTTTCACCTGGGCGTTAGAGCTGTCCGTGTCTGCTCCTGCCGGACTGGCACACAGGACCTGTCTGAGCAAAAGCTTAACGTGCTTCCAGAAGAATCCTGTTTCTTAAGAAAACACCTCATAACACCTCTGCTTTGAAACACAAAGACGCTTCTTTGATACAGATCAGGGAGCTGAATTTTGTTGTTTGGTTTGCGCTGAACTGCGAACACACTTTCCTGCTCTAACGCAAAACCCCTGGTAGTTCTTTTCCGTTCAGATCCCAGCCCAGCGCTCTGATTTCATGGGCGTTTGCATTTTTTAATGGCATGGTGAAATACTTCCTATTTTGATATGCCCCAAATAATAATCCTGTTCCCCCCAGATACATCTTAAAAGTAACACGTGCATAATACATCAAGGGTCGGCAGTAATTCCCCAGACGTGTGGTTTGAGAGCTGGCTGCTCCCAGGTCTGTTTGCCCGCGCTGTTTGCGTGGGCTGTGCTGGATGACAGGCAACTGCCTGTTGTTTCCTAGGGCTGCGTGTTGTCACCGGCACAAACCATGCTCTGGGCTAGCGAATCGAGCCGGCCAGCTGCTTCCCCAGGCCCCTCGGGTCGTAACTGTGTCTGCAGGCTCTGCGTGCTGCCGCTCTGCCTTCTCCAGCGGGGCTGGCATGACAGGGCTGAGACCTGACAGCTCATCACTCACCCCACATGTCGGAGCCCTGCTTTTGGAGGCTGTGGTTTGCAGAGGCGGCCGCGGCAGCAAGGAGAAACGGGTGTCACCTCACGGGCTATTGAGCTAGAGTGGCCTGTGGTGGGCTTAAGACACCCCACATGTCGGAGCCCTGCTTTTGGAGGCTGTGGTTTGCAGAGGCGGCCGCGGCAGCAAGGAGAAACGGGTGTCACCTCACGGGCTATTGAGCTAGAGTGGCCTGTGGTGGGCTTAAGACTCAGCAGAGCAGAGGGAAGCGGAGACTCAGGCAGTTTGCAGCAAGTCTGAGCGAGAGGCGACGGGGGCGCGTGC